ACAAGTGCCACGTGATAATAGAAACTGGTCTCACTGCTCGAGATTTGCAAGAATTGTGCCCTAGCAATCGAAATATTATGATATAACGGTATGTTGCTGTGAAGACTATCTACCTCTGCGTCACATATAGTTTCGTTTATTAAAATGAATTTGGCCGAAATTTAAATTGGAGCGTGATGAATCTAGGCCAGTTTTCCTATGCATTATGAGAGTATGACGAAAGCAGGGATGAGCGGGGCGGACAAAAGAAAACTAAGCCAATCATTTAAAAAAATCACTTGGAATATGAGAGTTTTACAACAATAAGATGAATGGATTTCACATCAACCTGAAATTCGCATCGAGATCAAATGAGCACTCAATTTTTAAACATCATAATAACTAAAACATGGGGAAAATATTAATTTGATCAGAGACTGCTCCACAGGTTCTTTCAGTTACCACGCTGCAATAGCTGTTTTCCTAGTCCCTCCCCTGTCTCTTACATTATTACTCTGGACGAAAATTGATCGTTGCAAACTTCAAATATCTTTCTCGTCATAAATGGCAGGCAACCAATTCCGATTATTTTCCCATGATGCCAATCATTTATGTTTTAATTTTTGAGCCTCCGTGTATAGGCGCTAGGTGCCAGACTTCTTATGAAAAATTTGTCGATGGGATGGTTTTATTTTATCCCCATCCTTCTTATAACAGACGACAGAATTTGCAACCATTTCAACAGCATGACTTTCCTAAGAGAGGAGTCCACGGAGCGAATAGGAAGTCACTTAGAAGCGATTTTGATACCTTCCTTACGAATTGATTCGGAAGTCTACTCTGCACGTGCAACATGCACGTGAGGCTGCATAGCCTTCGGAGAAAGCCACGAATGAGGAAATGCTGTGAGCATAACGTTTCTAGACTGTGGAGACCTGTCTAGAATATTAGAAATAGAGTCATAGGCACGTTCAGGAGCATGTGTTCTATGCAGGTGCAGACTTTCGTGGCGGATGGCATGCTGCAGTTCCAAGAAGTTCATCGGATCATGGCAGTGAGCACGTAATTTCAGAAACCTCCACATTCAGTGTTCAGCAAGGTAGAGATCCGTAGAACGTGTGAACGATGCTGTTGCAGGATCTCGGCTTGGGACAAAGTCCCCAATTTGTTTGCATGGAGCAGTTTTCACCTCGTGATGAATATGGTCTGGAGACGGAATGGGGACGTTTAGCCGAAAGACTATCCGGTCCACGTACTACATCTATCGCAGTTCGGGGAATGCAAATTTTCCCAACATGTGCGCGTGACGTAAGCCACTGATGAAGTACGGAATCCATCAGGACCAGGTTCTTCGAGAAATGGGGGCCAAGAATGAATTACGCAGTGAAGCAACACCCAGCAGTCACTTTCATGCAATGTGCCTGAAGCAGGACGTGGGGATCATCGTCAACCGCAATTGTTCATGTCCACATCGCCAAGCAGAAAAATGCGTTTCGTCGGTCCACAAGGATTCGATAAAGCCAAGTCATGTCCTCGTACGATTATGAGACACGTTACAGATCAAACGTCCGACAGGTGTCATTGTTCACAGGCAGTATTGTAGGGAAAGTTTATGAGCTCGAGCTTCGGCCAAGAACTTATAAGTGTCTTTTTTCTAGATGATTCTCAGGTATGCCTATGATTCAAATAAACTGCGAAGTCACGAAGTAAAAACTCCTGAAAGAAGGAAAATCTAGTTAGCGTCGGCGTGGTTGTGTCTCCGTATCATCTTTCCCGAGCGGGTTTCTGGGTTTCACCGAGCCCAGACCGAGAAATCTTGACAGACTTCCAGGAAAATGCAGACCATCTGGATCCGAAAACGTAGACCATGCAATGTGGCGCGAAGGCTACTCTGTACGTCGGACGGACTCAACGACTGATTCCCACCTTCGGTCGTATCCAGCCTTTCCTCCTAATGAAGGGAATCGGCTCAGCACAACGGGACATTTCCTTTATTCCGTTTTTACCGTATCACCACTACACGCATCCATGTTTAAAACTATGGGAGCGTTGATCGCTCTCAAAGCGCCCTTCTTTCCACTTTCCTCACTGCATCGACAGCTTCTACCCGAAGGAGAAACTTTCATGGAGTTGATTTCCTCATTTGCAAAACTCGATTCAGTGGAGTTACCAGCTAAGTCGAAGTTTATTCTCAGATATGCCTTAGATTTATGTTCTTCTACACCTCCCTCTGGGACGGGAGCTATAATGAATGGAATGAGATGGAATTGAAAGTGACATGTGGATATGAACGCAAGACAGGGAAGGAAGAGAGACCCATATACTGGTCGGGAAAGTTGGACCTTTTGCCATCCTTCAGATCAGCAGCTTGCTTCTTGACTATCCTTATTTTCATCATCCCTCCCTTTCGGAATCCGCCTTCAGAGATTATTAATTTAAAAAAAGCTCGATATATTACAAGTCAAATAATAAAAACGGCAAAAGTCAGAGAATGCAAGTAGTAACACACCCTAATTCTCAGGGAATGCACGGAAGTAAATTCCCTTTTTGACCAGACAGTGCGGCATTGCACACTTGATCGAAAGGCTATACTTTAATTTTGCTAATTTTGCCTTAAGGCAATACAATGTTTGCAATTATGATCAATCGTCCTACCTGTTTAAGAAACAAAAGCCAAAAGTTGGAATTTTTCAGACCACTCTTTCACCTACGGTAGTTTGCAATAACGAATAATCCATTGTGTCTTCGTAAACATAGAGTCTGCGACTTCCAACTTCCACAACAAGCATTTTGCTTTGTGATTCATAGATGGCACCTGAGAGGCCTTTGAAAATGTTGATGCCAATCGCCATCAATCGCCACGAGAGGGTTAGAGTTATCTTTCTCAAGAAAATCAGACACTGACTTATGCGGAGAAGCCCTACCGATCGTTTCCTCATCTTCAATAATTACTGGGGCATGACAGAAGATGGAGTGATATGTAAGCCATTTAGGAAATTGTTCGCATTAACAAAGGGCGGGGATTCGACAGGATACTCACTTATTCCATTATGTGAGAAAGGAAGGTCCACATAACCTCACAGCGACGATGATGTATGGCCTTGAGGAGAATTTCCAGGCGATCATCAATTAGTAGATCCATAATATGCAATGGCATTCGACTTCCCCTTCTTTCGTTGCCCATCCTTTGTAATGAAATAGCTTCGAGGGTGTTGACGAAGAATATTTGCATAGTCCCAAGGATATTTGGGAACGTCGGAGATGAGAGGGATTATCGATTCTTACGAGAGAGTTGGAAGAGGAACGAAAGCATGCCAGGGAAACGTGTGCACGGAGAGAGCAATCCATTTCTCTAAGATCCTTCAGTAATGAATGTTTACATTGAGTCAAAGTTCTACTGTTGTTGGGACCCATTCCTACGAGAAATGCGACGAGGAGAGGTATGGAGAAATAATAACCTATCCATCGGTCCCAGGAGGTCGATGACTTCATTTCTAAAATGCTCCAGGTCGTGTACGCAGGAAATTGCATTACTCCCAATCTCTTGTCTTCCTTCTTTCTCTCCCCCCTCTTTCAAGCAGTGTTGTGTGGAACTCATTCCAGACCTTCCCTCCCCCGCTCCCCTTTTCTTTCATTCCTTCGTCCGCAAATTCTTTTTAACAACGATTTTTAAAACAATTTTATGCTCGAAGGACCCCAATTTTCCCGTCACCATTTTGAATGAGATCCGTATCTCAGGCACCGATTCGTGGATGGGATTAGCGGTATCGACAACGAGTCAACGGGTTCACAAAACAAGAGCAGGTAGTTCATTGCAAGCATATGGGCGGACATGTGATTTTTGTGTTTCTTTTTTCCCCTTTAAGGAATGACGAATTGAGTTATTGCGGGAGGACTACGAGTGAGTGCACACACAGGGCAAGAGGAACGGGGGAAATGCGCAGCCTGCACTTCCATCAGCCCGTATGATCTTCATCGCAGCGGGTGGATCGGCATGAGCAGGCGGAATACTCGACTCGAAAGCGCAGTGATTCCCGACCTTCACTGGTGGCACACTTTGAATGCTTTACTTGCCACTGTCTTAACTCCTTGGCTTACTCTGGGAAAAAAGTATTATTCTCGTTTTTTCCCTCTCGCTAGGCTCAAATCTCTCGACACATCTGAGCTTCATTGAGCTGAGCTGAGCCGCACCAGTCAGCCGCGGCTCACAAGATGAGAAACATTGCTCTAGCGGATTCTCCATCGCCTCTGGCTGGCTTTCACATTATTGATCGCATCGATTCAGCTCAGTGAACAAAAGAGTCCGCATGTGTTAATTTATTACTATTCTTGCACTTAAGCATTCTTATTAGATGCTTGCCGTGACGTCTCATCGCGTTTAAAGGGTATACAGTACCATATGCGGTGCGACTTTGGGGGTGCATCGTAATGACGTCTTATAAGCCCATACTTATCTTCTCGAAGGAGTACAGAATCTCAGTTATCTCTGCCTAGCAAAGTTGTACCATGAAAAATAGAGAGCATCCTTGCGTGCTTCTCTATCAGAAGCTTCTCTAAATTATCTATTCCCAGAAAGTAGCGATGGAGATTACAAGTCAATCGATAGGAAAATTTCCTCAGATAGGATACGATAAAGGAGCATGAATGAGAGAAGAAGAGGAGAAGAAGAGGAGAAGAAGACGAGTCATCCTCGAAGATCTCCCATAGATCTTGGGCGAGGTAGCTATGGCTACAAACTCGTCATTCATTCATGTCGGTGGAACATGGAGGGGGTCGTAGTGGGTGAATTCCCGCTGGATTACCGAGGCAATCCAATTTTCCATCATTCTAAGAAGAAATCCTCCTCTCTTGTCCAGAGGGACCCGATCCAGGTTAATATAGGGCGACCGTGTTCATGATTTAAATCCTTCGCAAGGGCGCCTTCAGTCCAACTTGGATCGGGTTCCAATTCCTCTTCGAGCTCGAGCGGGAAATGTCCGAGACTTAGGATGATAATATCTCACGAGGCACGAGGAACTCACGTGTAGATGGGAATATTAGATTCTTCGCGGAACCACAGGACGATGTAAACCGGATCCAGAGGGTCACTTGGAGTCAGGTCACACGGGAGCTTCGCCGAGCTCCCTCGCAATACCTTCACTGTGGTGGATCGGCATGAGCAGGCGGAATACTCGACTCGAAAGCGCAGTGATTCCCGACCTTCACTGGTGGCACACTTTGAATGCTTTACTTGCCACTGTCTTAACTCCTTGGCTTACTCTGGGAAAAAAAGTATTTATTCTCGTTTTTTCCCTCTCCCTAGGCTCAAATCTCTCGACACATCTGAGCTTCATTGAGCTGAGCTGAGCCGCACCAGTCAGCCGCGGCTCACAAGATGAGAAACATTGCTCTAGCGGATTCTCCATCGCCTCTGGCTGGCTTTTATTGATCGCATCGATTCAGCTCAGTGAACAAAAGAGTCCGCATGTGTTAATTTAATACTATTCTTGCACTTAAGCATTCTTATTAGATGTTTGCCGTGACGTCTCATCGCGTTTAAAGGGTATACAGTACCATATGAGGTACGACTTTGGGGGTGCATCGTAATGACGTCTTATAAGCCCATTCTTATCTTCTCGAAGGAGTACAGAATCCCAGTTATCTCTGCCTAGCAAAGTTGTACTTAAAACATGAAAAATCGAGAGCATCCTTGCGTGCTTCTCTATCAGAAGCTTCTCTATATTATCTATTCCCAGAAAGCAGTGATGGAGATTGCAAGTCAATCGATAGGAAAATTTCCTCAGATAGGATACGATAAAGGAGCATGAATGAGAGAAGAAGAGGAGAAGAAGACGAGTCATCCTCGAAGATCTCCCATAGATCTTGGGCGAGGTAGCTATGGCTACAAACTCGTCATTCATTCATGTCGGTGGAACGAGGGGGTCGTAGTGGGTGAATTCCCGCTGGTTTACCGAGGCAATCCAATTTTCCATCATTCTAAAAAGAAATCCTCCTCTCTTGTCCAGAGGGACCCGATCCAGGTTAATATAGAGCGACCGTGTTCATGATTTAAATCCTTCGCAAGGGCGCCTTCAGTCCAACTTGGATCGGGTTCCAATTCCTCTTCCAGCTCGAGCGGGAAATGTCCGAGACTTAGGATGATAATATCTCACGAGGGACTCACGTGTAGATGGGAATATTAGATTCTTCGCGGAACCACAGGACGATGTAAACCGGATCCAGAGGGTCACTTGGAGTCAGGTCACACGGGAGCTTCGCCGAGCTCCCTCGCAATACCTTCACTGGAATCGTCACCGCTGAAATTTAAAGAAAGCAACACGTCCATGATATCATGTCGCACGAAGGGGTTGTCGAGGAAAAGGCAATCAATGTCATGGCCGAGGCATGCAATCGAGGCATCTGTCATACGCCTCAACGTTTTCATGAGAGGCTGCTCCCAGCAAGTATGCTATATTTTGTGGCCAGTAGAAACTGAAGACGCCTTGTAAAAATTATTACTTCATCGATTATTTTCTAAGATCGAGGGTAGTTCAACCAATCTAATTCATTGGTCAGCAGTTGAGATACGGTCTCCTGAATATCACGCTAATCGTTAGACTGTCTCCGTGAGAACTCTGTGAGAACTCCGTGAGAAACACCAGTTTCTTACCATGAGTGGTTTTCGTCATCCGCCAACGGTCCTCATCACGATATATCATACATATGCTTGTAGAACGTCAGGCATTGCTTCGCACTTAGCTGAAGTAGTTTCTTAGAAACGACGTATGCTTCCACCAGGTAATCACATTGAAAGGAGGCGAAGAGTTCGTATCGGCTTACAGTAGAACATTGGAACTTAGTTATTAAAACTGTTGGAAACTTTCCGGTACTGGACTTAATGAACCTTCAGCTGCGATTGCTTAATCCATCTCTAGGCTTCAATCAATAGTTATTTTGACCAAATCGTTATTGCAGTAGGACATCTTTTCTGAAAGCGTTGCTATTTATCCACCATGGAGTAATTGACAGGAATATAGCTGATGCTATCTAAACGCATGCCCCTGCAGATACTGAGAATCCTGCGGGGGGAAAAAACCTATCCTGAGTTGACGAGAAGCTGTTCATTTTTTAAGGGGTGATTTCGGGCGAAATGTAGGATTCCTCACTGCATATAATGCAGTGGGGAATCATATTTTCATATGGGTAGAACTCATCCGACCGATTTAGCTTCAGAACATTCATTCGTAACAACGGCAATCCAATAAAAATTTCCTGCGTCTTCACGCCCTAGCAAAGCGTCCCCCTGCATCCACCTGGCTGAACGACCAGGTGAAGAGGTGGATTTGGAACCAGATGGATGTCCCACCCTGGGTAAATCCACCTGGCCATTTGCACTCGTTTTTCTCATGCCAAGTGGATGTTCGCCCCTGGTGGATTTTTTTTTACCAGGTAGACATCGCTCCAACAGGTGGAAATACGCTTAAGGAGGCATCCACCTGGTTCAAAATCCACCTGGCAGGTCGATGTTTTGTAAGGACATACTTTCTATGATGGAGTATCGATCGTCTCAGAACCTTTCTAAATGCAACCACGTCTAGTAGTATCTCTGCTGTGGAGTATAAAAAATGTGTCACCTGAGTTTTGCAGGAATCGCCTCGGATGAATAATTTTTCAGGGTATCGATCTCATGCAGTTGAGATGTTCTCTCAGGGTTAACGTTAATGTCCATGACCACTTGGATTGTGTATGGAAACCTATACCCTTTTATTTGTGAGAGCAGAACTAATTGTTCGCAATAATTACAGCTACTAAACAATAATTATCGAAGATTAATGGTACGAGAAATGTGTCTGGGGATTCTACCCTCCTGCTCATGCAAGAAGAAATTATGGAACGCCCATTGCCTGACCCTGAGACAGTTACGATGGGGTTAAGGGAGGATGGAACTCGGGACCGGTAATTGTCGTCTATCTTTTCTCATTTTTATTATTTCTCTTTCTTCGCTCCCCGTTCCCCCTGGATCGGCAGACTTCTTTCCGTTTGTCAGGTTGTTCGTGCTTCTGGGATTTCCTCCCGTCTCTGCTGATCAGGGCAGTAAATTACGAGATTGGATCTTCTCGTGCCACGCAGATAGACATGTAGAGCACCCTTTCCTTTTTTTCCTCCTTATCTTCTTCCAAGAAGGATGAGAATGTGAAGATAATGCGATGGGAAGGAAGCAAGGAGGTCACCCATATACAGTGATGGTCTTCGTCGACACCCCATCGAAACCGGGCTACAGGAAGCATCGGAGGCTCGGGGGGGAAAGGAGCCACTCACTTGATGGCATTCTTCGAGGGATCGATTTCAAATGAGAGCTACTGCTTTTCCGTTCTCTTTCCTTTTTTCTCTGTCGTAGTCGGCGTCCGAGTGGTCATCAATCTAGAGGTGAGCTCGGCAAAGAGAAGTCTTTTGTTTCTTTTCTTCTTTTTTTTTTTACTTCGCATAATACCAGCGTGGGAAATTATGGCATCAGGAACAGATGCCAGCGGGGGGGAGGGGTGGGGGCCGCAAGTACGATTATTTCTTCTTTTCTCTATCTCTATCTTCTCCGCAATGGTTCATAATGAGGCTGCCGAGCCCAGGTAGATGGGCCCCGCCGCATTGTTCCCACGATGTTTCCAGTCACTGCATGCCGTCGCATGAGTCATGGCCCCGACAGGCTTGGAGACGGAATATTTCGTTTTCCACATGGAAGGAAGAGGAAAGAAGCTGATTCCAGTCGACGGGGTCCTTCTTACGTATAATGGTGAGACTCTTCTAAATTTCAGATGAGGAGCAAGGCGCCAGAAACAAAAGATTGAGTCTGGAACACGGCCAGACTGACACAGACATGCTGTATGCTCACAGAGACTTCTTTTCTCTCTGTCGCTACCACGACGAACTTCAGACGCGATTAAGACAGTCTCCATCCTCATCCAAGCAATCATCATTTTCGTGACAGAAGGAAATGGAAAACAAAAAGGGGCGCCTTATCTTCCGTCCCTCGACCCCCTCTGCATACATTTGAATATTCTCCAGCTCTCTTCATCGACGTGACTTATCATTGCGGGAATGCTGGGAAAAGTGCTCGTTCGCTCGAGACGAGGACGGAAGAGGGATGTATGCTATCTATCTCGTGAGATCGCAATGAAGCCACCGGGCTGTGAAATCAACTCCACTCACTCTCACTCTCACTCTCCCTCGGTCGTCAATCGAACGGAATTCTAGAAACTCCTGCCTCTTTCACTTCGAGAAACCGAAGGAAAATGAGAAAATAGGGAAAACTTTTATTAGTATCCGGATGATGACGACTCAGGTGAAGAGATGACGGCCTGGCTAATCGATCTCCATTAACCACTTTCCTTGCCCTCCCCCTTATTTCTCCTCTCTTCTTCGTCGCCCTACCTCTGCACCAGCGTCAGCGATATCATCTGCAAAGTATATTTTCTGGACTTTACGTTGGACTTAAATTCCGTGAGACAGATATCTTGGCAGGTCAGGACGTGCCAAGTATTCCTTTTGCATTCCTCGAAATGGCCCACGTCACAGCAAACTCCTTTCCCCCTCGTCGCACAACTGCGGTTTGAGTAAAAGTGAAGTTTGAAAAGAGGAAAAAGAGCGGAGGTATGCGTGATGCGAGAGAGAAGAGAGATCTCGATCGATATTGGTACACTTTGTCCTCGTCGCTGTCACGCCATCGGTCAACAACATCCACCTACACGATGCGACGATTATAACGACCATCCCTCTATTCTCTAATTAATCCTCGACCTTTCTTTTTATTCCCGGATTTCCTGGGCATGGCTGCATAGAAAGCTTCCTGTCGCTTTCATCTGTAACATGCCGGTTGTGGAATGTATTTTAAAGAGACTCATTTTAATAATGAATGTTGATAACTTTAGTCTGGGAGAATCGGAATCGGAAATCACTTTTCGCCTGATATCTTATCTACTTTGACTTTCACGAATTACATAAGAAATGACAGGCACCTGACAAGGCAGAGATACAAGGCGCAGTCGGGTAGAGTCCAGATCCAAACTTTGCAATTGAGAGTAGCTATTTAAAAGAAAATAGGGGGAAAAGGGCTCTTTAAAGCTCGAGTGTTAATTCCAACAGGGCAGGGGCACTTCGCCCTGCGTACCTCAATGCACATGCAATTGCGAGTGAAGTCCCATGAGAGTTACTCTCGTTAAGAGTTCATATTCACAGAAAACTTACGCCTGAAAGAGTACTTCCATGGTAGTTGAGTTGAATCTTAATTTTATATCTTCATGCGAGTGTGCAAAAGTTTTGTCCTGCACACTTCTACGAGAAACTTCCGTGCTAGGAGACTCGTGTGTGTAAACACGCCCTCATGCACAGCCCCTCCACAGGATCCTGGTGTTCATGCCAACGTCCAGTCGCTCCCGCAACCGATCGACTAAGTAAGGGACAGACGCCTGCATATAGCCTCCCTGTTTCCCCTGGTGTATGAATGAAAACCAACTTCTTTGTTCCTGTTTCACTCGACCACACGAGACGATACTGCTATCTCTGCAGATTTTCGATAACGGGTCGCACAACTGCGCACCTCCTGTTACGTTATTCTATGTTTCTAACGATCGTTTTCTTTCTCGAAGTAAACATTGGCCAACATCACAAGTTCCTTCTCCGTCGACGGACGTTCCTGTTTACGTTTCTTCGTCTGAAAAATTAATCATGATTACTCTGCCAACTCCACATCTATCAGATTCGCCAACAAGTTAATTCCGACAGTTCACCGTCAAATTCATCGCAGCAGTTAATGCAGCCTAGTGGAGAGCGATAGCGCAATGACCCCATATTCCCCGTCCGGTCTCAATTCTCCTGGGCCGTAGTACAGCGGGGGAGGGGGGGAGGGAATAAAGAAATAAATAATGATGAAACTTGAGATTCATGGTTCCCGTCCCGAGTCTCCTTCATACTCATTGATGAAGTATTGCATGAGAAACAGTTTGGAGAAATTTTGATTTTGAGAAGTTAAGTATGAACAGGTAGTCGGGTGGTTTCGAAGAATGAAGCACAAAAACTATAGGTATAAACGTCATGGTTTCTTGGCCTACACGACCTAAAAGGATAAATGAATGAAGTTCGTAACAGCGTAATTTGTTTCTCTTTTCCGCTTCGAGTCTTCCGTTGGGTGGCAATTTCCAGGTCACAATTGATTTGGACAAGATAGGGCCCTTAAATATATTTACGAGTCGATTGGCGCAAGGCGAGAGATGAAAAAATCCCTCGCATGAAAGGAGTCGTTTACATCGATCACTTCATTTTCCTGTCAAAATCGATGGCACAAAGAGCTACTGACACTGTCTGAAGAGAAGTGTGCGGAGTTCATGAAGGGAATGAAAGTCGAGGAGTATAAATGCTTCGGCTGAGGAATGAGAAGATTATGAGGGCATCAGCCATGATGAGCTCGGAAATGCTCATAACTCATGCCTTGCACGTACCAACGCACACACAGGATGACGGAACGGTTCACCCTCCATTAAACTCGACGTATAAGAACCTTCCTCACCGAATCTCTGGGCTCGTAAATTACGCGACCACCGTCGAGGTGAGCTTCACTTTCCTCTCGCATTCTGATATCTATTTCATCCGATCGCAAAAGAAAAACGGACGTGGAAAACGATTTCGAATCCAGTAAGACATTAAAACGAGGCGCTTCGGGGAAAAATAA